TTTTTTTTATACAAATTTTAATTCCTCAGCATTTTGATATTCTCATTTTCATAGATCTTTGACATATGCATATGCGAATATTCAGTGGTTGTTGAAGGCTGCCAGAGTTGAGGAGCCCTGGAATCAGCCCCCCGAACAATAAAGTGTCCACTCGCAGGTGGTCTTTCACTATTCGTACACCTTACATTCAATAGCTATGCTTATACATGTGTTATATATAAATATATATTTTATATAGTTATATTAAGTTTGTAAGTTGCCCCCGCGCATGCATGTATCAGCCACCCCAACACTGTATCCGTCTGCGTCATGTCCCTGTAAAGTCTTTTACTTTGCACCCGGACAAGAATGGGGACGTCCATTACCTACATGCACGCGGTATATTACTGGTTTATTTTTTATTTTTTATTACAATTATTTTTAACAATACAAAAAAGTAAAGACTCATTTTGTTTATCTAATGATAGTATTCGATTAACAATTTCTAATCAAGTCCGTATATAATTCACTTTTAATGCCTATGATTGAAAGAACCCCACTAATTCCACTCGTCCACTTTCATACATCCGTAAAGTTTGTAATGACTTACATTGTATAGGTATTTGATCTAGGTATGTGTACATGTAAGTGACATAAAAACAGTTACACATATATTCCGGCAAATTTGTCCAGATTATTTTCTAGTTTTATAGTTGTGTCTAACCATGTGCGTGTACTATTCAGGTGTTGGACAGGTTTTGTAATATTCCGAATTGGGTAAGTTTTGTTCGCTTATACTTGCACTAGAGAATAATGATTGTAATTGATACACAAAGTTTCTTTCATATTAGTAACAAACAAAGTTATTTATGTTGTTTACATGTACACATTACAGATGTAAACTGTCTGCACGCGTGACCCCGCGGTCAAGGAGTTTACATGTGTACACCTTACTACAAGCCATATTATACACGCTGCGTTAGTCACCATAATAAACCATATGATTGAAAATGACAACACTTTCTTACTGATAGTTCCATTCGTAAAGTATATCCATGTAGGCTAATCTCTCATAAATCCTTCATAAATGTATGTAACAGTTTGCTACATACGTGCGTAAATCTGCAAATATGTTCTAGCTCCCGTTTAAAAATGTTAATCGGGCTAATTTTTGTTTTTGTTCGCTTATATGGTAGGTCTTAAATACCGCGAAACCTATCAAACACAATATTATATTCGTGCAATCGTAATTTTGTTCTTGTATTTTGTATCCTAATATCAAATGCCTTAGCTGCCTCATATTTTTACAGATACCTATGTTTTGAAAACCTTTATCCATTTTGTTCCTATAATTGTCAAGATATCTACAGTTGATAAAATAATGTTCAAAATCTTCTACCTCTTGACAGACGTTACAGAGCTCTGAGTCAGCTAGGGTCATTCTGTTTAACAACTGTCTAGTTGGTATTATATGATGAAATAATTTCCATTTGAATACTTTATACTTATTGTCTAATAATTTACTGGAAACAAATTGTAGCATTTGTTTGATTTCTATTGATCCATCTAAACCGAAATAATTTATCCATCGCATTTGTTAATGTTTATCACATTTTTTTGTTGAGTAGCCAACCTATATACATCTTTATTTTTTAACTTCCCTAAGTTAAGATTAACTCCGGTTTTTTTATCATAAACGTTGTAGTTTTCTTTATTAAAATTAACCTTGGTTTTAATCGATTCTTGCGATTGTAGAATTCCTGCCCATTTTTTTGGAAAGGCCATTTTAACTTGTAGCATTTCAATCATCCAGTTTTGTTTGTTTGCTAATTTGTCATAAATGTATTTTTCATTAATTCTACCATTTTTGTCAATTACATCTTCAACATAAATCATATTGCTATCGATCCAATTATTAAAGATTAATGTTTTTTCGTTGATCATAATATTTTTATTTCCCCATATGACCTCTTTTCTTACTTCAAAAAAGGTATCTCTATTATTTCTACCAGTACCACCTACCTTTAGCCATGACTCCAATATGTTTACATAAAAACTTGTTACATTTTTNCTTTTCTTACTTCAAAAAAGGTATCTCTATTATTTCTACCAGTACCACCTACCTTTAGCCATGACTCCAATATGTTTACATAAAAACTTGTTACTCTAATTTGCTTAATTTTTTCAAAATTCGTTTTAAATATTAACATGTTTTTCCCATAATTTCCGTACATCATTTTTGGTATAATTTTCCAATTTGCTTCATCCTTGTTTGTTATTCGTTTCACCCATGCCACCCTTATGACATCAATATGTGATATAATATCACGTATTTTTAACCCCCCATTCTCATAATTTTGTATCATGATATTTCTTTTAACTTTTTCACTTCCCTCCCATATGAAACCATATATTAAGCGTTCTAATTCTTTTATTTGCTCTACACTTATTACTTGGACACTTGCTATATATGTTATTTTTGAGATTACAAGAGTATTTATAACCACGATTTTACCGATCAGTGGTCTTTTTTTCCAATTTTTAAGCATTGCGTCTATTGTCTTTTTACCTTCCCAGTTCAAATTGGCACACACTTTATTGTTAGTTCCAAAATATATTCCTAGAGATTTTATTTTCTCTCGAGTCCATTTTATCCCTTCATAGTTAGTCGGTTTTCTTTTATTCGTGCCTAAGAAGAGTCCTTCCGTTTTATTTTTGTTTAGTTTTAAACCGGAGTGTTTACCGAACTCCTCTATTATTTTGTGCTAATGGTACATCAGAATACCTTAAAAATAATGTTGTATCATCCGCTAATTGTGCTATTTTTATGTCTTTTTTGTTAATTCGTATTCCTTTAACATTTATATGTTGTCGTATTTTAATCGCTAATATCTCTACTGCTATTACAAAAATTAAACAAGACAAAGGGCAGCCTTGCCCAATTCCACGTTTTATTACATGACTTTCTGTTAACCAGTTATTGTTTTCAACGATTCCAGTTATATTCGTATAAAAGGTTTTAATCCAACCAATAAACGAATCACCAAAACCAAATTTTTTTAAACAGCCAATCATGAAACTCCATTCGATTGTATCAAAAGCTTTGGAGAAATCCAGAAATAAGATACAAGCATCTGTATTAAAGTTTTCAGCATAATCATTTATATCTTGTATCTGTCTGATATTATAGCCTATCAATCTGTTTTTAATGTATCCATTTTGATCCGTATTTACAATTTTTTCCATAACTGGTTTTAATCTTGTGGCTAATACATATGCTGCAATTTTATAGTCAATGTTTAGTAACGATATGGGTCTCCAATTTTCTAGTTTTTGTTCATTACCTTTTTGGTATATTAATGTAATTAAACCATTTTTTTGCGAGTCGCTCATTTCGCCGTTATAGTAACCTTCATTTAGGGCGTCAAGAACCATATTCCCGATTGACTTCCAAAAGATTCTATAAAATTCCACCGTTAATCCATCATTTCCTGGACTTTTGTTTAGTTTCATTTTATTTATTGCCGTGGAGCATTCCGCAATTGTCAATATACCTTCACATGAGACTTTATCATCTTCTGTTAATGAGTTTGGTATGGCTGTTGTTTCTAAATACTCATTCAAATGAGATATATCAGGATTTGAGGTGTTATATAATGTCTTATAAAAATCGTGTATTTGTTTCGATATTTCATTTGCGTTTGTTACAATTCTCCCGTTTTCACCTTCTAATGTTCTAATTGTTTTTTCTGCTGTCTCCTTTTTTCTAAACCTAGAAAATAGCTTGTGTTATTTTCTCCCTTTTCTACCCAGGCTATCCGTGACCTTATTTGAGCACCTTTTGCTGACCTCACATATCTTTCCTCCAGTTCCCGTTCTAATTCTTATTGTTCAATTAGTTTTTGTTCAGTCATTGTGACATTCGATTGATTAAGAAAAGCCAGTTTCTCTTCCATAATCTTAATTTCATTTTTATTTTTGCGGGCATGATTTTTGCAAAATTGTATTGTCTCTTGTTTAATTAGTACCTTGCAAAAGTCCCAAGATTTTCTTTTATTTAATTGCATGATTTCGCATTCCCGTTTTGATTGTATTATCACTTTTTCAATTAAATTTTTATATTCGTAATTATTTAATATACTACCGTTAATCTTCCAAACCCCCTTTTCAATGAAGAGTTACAAATGTCATGAAAATACCAATGACAAATCTTTCATAATGTGAAAAATGGCTGTCATGTTAAAAGATTTATTACATTTTTGCAAGTGAGATATTTGATTACATATCATCTGGTTCTCCTTGATTCTAATTGGCTAAGTCTTGGTAACCAAATTACAAATATCAATGTCGCAAATTTTTTGCTCAAATGCAGATAAAACTACGGTTGAATAAATGGCTTATTTTGCATATCTGTAACTGTAACAGAATTGAAATGTCAACGATTGTTTGGTGTGTCGTAATGAAACATAATCAAAGTATAAATTGAGACAATTTGTTAGCAATGTGAAACTGGAACGAACTAGAAATTGATTCTCACCTGGGGAACAGGAATATGAGCTCCCTGTCCAAGCCCCAGAGGCCTGACAGGTGACGGTAAACACGCTGCCGCCGATGTCGTATCCACTGGCACAGGAAAACGTCCTTGAACAATCATAAGTCGTACAGCCAGAATTAACTACACCATTAGGTTCGGACACAGTAGGCACTCCGCAATCTGTAAATAAACAGTGAAGTTATATACAATAATGGCGACTGAATTCTCAAAAATAAAAATCCTTACTAAGATTAGATTTAAAGTGCAGAAATGTACTTGGAGATATTTATTACAATGCAACAATGTATCTTTTATGTATAAACTAATGAGCAGCAGACAGGCGCAGAGCATTAGCCCTCATGCGTATCAACGATTATACAGGTGAGTGTTGGTTATATGTACCCTATAGTATTTACACATACCTACGATTATACAGGTGGGTACTGGTTATATGTACCATATAATATGTATACATACCTACGATTGTACAGGTGAGTACTGGTTATATGTACCATATAATATGTATACATACCTACAATTAAACAGGTGAGTACTGGTTATATGTACCATATAATATGTATACATACCTACCATTGTACAGGTGAGTACTGGTTATATGTACCATATAATATGTATATATACCTACTATTGTACAGGTGAGTGCTGGTTATATGTACCATATAGTATGTATGCATGTGTACCCTATAGTATTTATACATACATTCGATTGTACAGGTGAGTACTGGTTATATGTACCATATTCTATGTATACATACCTACGAATACATACATACAATTATACAGGTGAGTGGTGGTTATATGTAACATATAATATGTATACATACTTACGATTGTACAGGTGAGGACTGGTTATATGTACCATATCGTATGTATGCATGTGTACCCTATAGTATTTATACATACATTCGATTGTTCAGGTGGGTACTGGTTATATGTGCCATATAATATGTATACATAACTACGATTGTACAGGTGAGCGCTGGTTATATGTAACATATAATATGTATACATACCTCTATAGTATTTACACATACCTACGATTGTACAAGTGTGTGTTGGTTATATGTAAGATATAATATGTGTACATACCTACGATTTTACAGGTGAGTGCTGGTTATATTGACCCTATAATATGTATACCTTCCTACCATTGTACAGGTGAGTGCTGGTGATATGTAACATCTAATATGTATACATACATACGATTGTATAGGTGAGTACTGGTTATATGTGCCATATAATATGTATACATAACTACGATTGTACAGGTGAGCGCTGGTTATATGTAACATATAATATGTGTACTTACCTACGATTGTACAGGTGTGTGTTGGTTATATGTATCATATAATATGTATGTATACGTACCTACGATTGTACAGGTGAGTGCTTGTTATATGTAACATCTAATATGTATACATACATACGATTGTATAGGTGAGTACTGGTTATATGAACCATATAATATGTATACATAACTACGATTGTACAGGTGAGTACTAGTTATATGTACCATATAATAGTTATACATACCTTCGATTGTACAGGTGAGTGCTGGTTATATATACCATATAATATGTATACATAACTACGATTGTACAGGTGAGTGCTGTTTATATGTACCCTATAATATGTATACCTACTTACCATTGTACAGGTGAGTACTGGGTATATGTAACATATAATATGAGTACATACCTACGATTGTACCGGGGAGGACTGGTTATATGTAACATATAATATGAGTACATACCTACGATTGTACAGCTGGGTGCTGGTTATATGTAACATATATTATGTGTACATACCTACGATTTTACAGGTGAGTGCTGGTTATATAATATGTATACATACATACAATGATACAGGTGAGTGCTGGTTATATGTTCCATCTAATATGTATACATACATACAATGATACAGGTGAGTGCTGGTTATATAATATGTATACATACTTACGATTGTACAGGTGAGGGCTGGTTATATGTACCATATCATATGTATACATACCTATGATTGTACAGGTGTGTGCTGGTTATATGTATCATATAATATGTATGTATACGTACCTACGATTGTACAGGAGTGTGCTGGTTATATGTACCATATACTATGTATACATACCTACGATTGTACAGGTGAGGGCTGGTTATATGTAACCTATAGTATTTACACATACATTCGATTGTACAGGTGAGTGCTGGTTATATGTACCCTATAATATGTATACCTACCTACCATTGTACAGGTGAGTGCTGGTTATATGTACCATATCATATGTATACATACCTATGATTGTACAGGTGTGTGCTGGTTATATGTATCATATAATATGTATGCATGCGTATCTACGATTGTACAGGTGTTTGCTGGTTATATGTACCATATAATATGTATGCATGCGTATCTACGATTGTACATGTGAGTGCTGGTTATATGTACCATATACTATGTATACATACCTACGATTGTACAGGTGTGTGTTGGTTATATGTATCATATAATATGTATGCATACGTACCTACGATTGTACAGGTGTGTGCTGGTTATATGTACCATATAATATGTATGCATGC